ATCATATGCATTAGTAATCTCGTGGGTAACTTTTTTTGTTAGGGAAGTAATCGTAAAAGACAGGATACAACCAACATACACTATGAAACTTCCCCTTTTGTTTCCCTTTTGGCAAAGACCTCAATACCATCAAACCAATTTCAGAACATTCATTGTGTACAAGGGGCATTTCTAAGTGAGGGAAGTTAGGAGAAAGTAAGAAGCTGTTGATAGACTGCTTTTTAAAACATATAAACATTTATCTATTCTATTTCTAACACCAGAATTATCTACCAATATACAATTACATAGATAAAAACAAAGGAAGAACCAGAACATCCTTTTCTTGTAAAGTTCTTGTGTGAACAGTTTCTGCTTGCATCATTCCTTTCATCAGTCTACAGTAAGGAAGCTGTAGAAACAGTTTTGCAAGATTCTACAAGACATGATGAATTAGTTTCAGTACTCATGTTTACAGCTGTTTACTTCCATCCTAGAGTCACAATCTACAGTGCAGGACAGAACTGAGAATTTCTGAATGCTTTTTATATTCACAACTTTACTAAGTGACTTGAGGAAGTTTTCAAGTCCTGCTTGGCTTTGATGGGGGAAGGCCTATTTAGTGTCGAGGTGACTGAAGTGACGACAGTATTTTTTTAAGAGACTCTGGGGGTACTGGAAAAATGTATTTGAAATGATTTTAGACAATCAAGTAGCTGGAAGATATCAATACTGTGGCAAGTGAGAAGTATATAATCCAGTAACTGCCAGTGTAGTATTTATTCCCTTATGAATTTTGGATGGGCATTGGCAGGGACATCTCTATATTACTTTTTATTAATGGGAGAAATTAAAGTTTATTTTGAAGCTTGTTTCTTAAAATTTCTGGACCAGAAAAAAATTGCCACAAAACTGTTAATCCATAACTGGATATGAACACTTTGTATTGAGCTGGAATTGAAATATCTAGCTACTGAAGGGCACTATTTAACCTTTGGGCAGTAAAAAAACTCTAGATACATAATAATTAATTATACAGTTCTCATCAAGTGTGTGCTTAAGACCCACTGACTTCCATAAAACTTACGCGCAGGCTTAAATTTAAGCCTGTGCCTATGCACTTACTTGAATGGAAGAATGTTCAGAAAAGATAGTAGAAGATATTTGTTGGCTATGAAGAAAATACACTAGTTATTTAAATACATTTGTAATCATGATACAGGAAAAAAGCACTACATTAAAAGCTAAAAACAAATCAGAAACCAATTCAGCAAATTACTTTCACATGCTTAGCATGCAAGTGCAATGTGCAGACTCAAATGTGAATATCTGAGACCCTAAGAAGTCTGAAACAGAATTACAGCTACCAAATGCTTTAGAATCTGAATCTTCCAGAAAAGAAATATAAATGTCCAGATTGTAGATTCTTGAGAGCAGAAATTTACTTTATGAACTAGGAAGAAAAAGTAATGAAATACATAATTCTATGTGAAGTTTAATGGCATAAACATATTGCACTTAGATGTGGGTAGTTATTGTTCAGCAAATAAAGTGCTGAATTCAAAGGAAAGCACCAGTTTCATGAAACACTAAGAACATTTTGCTGATAATGTAATAACAGAGACACTAAAAATAACATTAAACTTGTATAAAAATCAAAACAGAAAGCATACAAACAATAAATGTCTCCAGGGGAATAGTTTATGTCCAATTTTATTGAATGGCATAAATATTTCAACATCATTCTAAACCTCAGTCAAGGTGGATAGTTGCTGATATTGAAACAATTTTTCTTATAAGATATCCATCACTGTAACATGTATCTGTCTACCAAGTATTATTTTAAAAACAGAATCTGAAAGAAATCTTGATATCAGATTTACTAGCTGGTAGCCTAAATTACTTAGGAGGCACCATTTATTATAAAAATGGTTAATCTGCAGAGGTAATTTAGAATGCCATAAGCAGTTTTACCATGTATTTCTTTGTTAAGTGTGTGCTTTTTAATTTTGAGATTTTGTAGGTATTTGCACTATTTCTATACTAGGCCATAAGCAGTTGAGAGAACTATCTGCATTGATGTCTTATGTTCAGTAATTACTGAAATCACATTATTTGAAGGAAGTATCCCTTTTTAGTTATTTCTGGTTATTTGAAGGAAGTGCCCCTCCCTGCTTTCAGCTTCATGTGTCTAGATATTTTTAAATCTTCCTCACAGACACTGGGTGTTGGCTACAGCAAAAGGCTAGGGACTTTGACTAAGGTGTGCCAATGCTCCTTCAGGGACCAAAGCTGGAGGTTCCTGGGTAGAGGATCATGCCCCTCCACCAAGGGTCAGACCAATTACCATATTTGGGGTCAGGAAGGAATTTTACCCCATGGTCAGTTTGGTATAGACTGTGGGGGGTTTTGCCTTCCTCTGTAGTGGGGAGTGCATCCCTCTATCCAGGATCTCTTGAGCATATATTATCAATACTTTATAGAAGCAGGATGTTGACTGCTATGGTTCCCCTGCTTTATCCGTGGCAGGGGAGACTTTAGGGTGTAAAGTCTTTGTTGGGTCAGGGTTGATGGTAGTTTTATGTATAGTTTAGTTTATGGATTGTATACAATGGTTTGGATAGGGATGATCCTGCTGCAGGCAGGGAGTTGGACTAGATTACCTCTGGAGGTCCCTTTTAGCCCTACTTCTTTTTGACTGGAAGACTCTGAAATAGGTGGGGAATAAGTATAAGTCAGATAAACATCGCATTTTCATGTAATACTATTCATTTTCCTATCAGACTTCTATATTGCTGCTGCATCTAAATGGAAACTATCCTAATGGACATCTTGATACTTCCATGAAACAACAGCCGCTCAGAGCGCATTTACTATCACCAAAACCAAACCAAACAAAATAAAAATCAGGCCTTAATATTTATAATTATGCACATTATCCATAATCCATATGCACCTAAATAATTAATTATATTTCCTAAGGACAAAACACCAACACTAGAGGTGGTTGATATTTTTGGGGGGAAAAAAATACAATTTATTTAACTGCCCATTTATGTATAATTGGATATCTAATTTTAAGGTTTGAATCTGGCTAAGAATTGTAATAATAGTGCATGAACAACCCCATTACCAAGGACTATATTTGGGTCTCCTTATTACTGCAAGCCTACCTGTTAAATATGTACTGCTAGATACATTAGACTAAGAAAGTGCGCCATTATGAAGCATAACCTTTTATATTAGATACATTACTGCTGAATCAGTGATGACACAAGATATTAGCCATGCAGTCTGGCTTGCTGAAGATTATTTCTCAGTTTCTAGAGGAAATTACATTTAGTTACCATTTTCTAACTACACAGAACCTTTGGAAGTGAAGAGAGATTGAAAAGATTGGGCAGGTCACTTAATTTCTTTGTTTCTATTCCGTAAGTATAAAATAGGAATAATACTTCTTTCTCATGGACTGTTATTTCATATTCTTGTGGTTTTTGACAGTGCTGAGTGCTGTTACCAAGATAACATATATTTCGTTATAATTTTAACAAAAAATATTTCCCATGTTTCTCCCCAACAAAAAATGACAATGAAAATAACAAAAGGTTGAGTTACAAAATGACAAAAACAAAGAAACACCAAGAGACCCCCAAGCATGTGGGCTATTTGATGCCTTGTTTTCGGCGTGCGCCTGCATTAAATTGATTCTGTTATTCTTCCACAGACAACAGAAGATCCAGGAATGTGGCAAAGGGGAGAGGGGAGGGAGGGGAGCCCTCCCAAGGGAGCCTTCCCTCCATACAGACAGCTTAACTGTGCCATGCATGCACAGTGACCTATGAGATACTGGCTACCAAGCATGGGCTCCTGCTAGAGGTTGAATGAGTAGTAGCTCTGAGCTCATCAATTGATTGGTGTAGGATTTGGCCAGAGCCCCTACTTTTTTGTGGCTGCAGAGCCCAGGGGGTGAATATTTTCCCCTCCCTCCACCTTTGTATTGAATTCGGCAGGAGAGGAAAGGAAGTGATGAAAAGTGATGGCAGCATTTACCCTCCAGGTTCCTAGGTTCTAAAAATACGTGAAAATGGGAGCTCCAGACAGATGCTATGCCAAGAGCTCACAGGCAGCACAGATAAAGGAGGGTGTGACTACGCCACCACACTTCCCCTGGACCTGCCCCTGCCAGCAGATATAACTTGTTTGTAAAAAGGTTTAAATTTCATCCATTTATAGATTATTAAGTATATCTTATATGGCTGTGTTACAAATAATTAGCTTAATGGCAAAAAATGAAACTTTAAGGAAGTGGCCTTATATATGTGTGTGTGTGTGTGTGTATGTATGTGTGTATATATATACATATATACACACACAAAATTGTGGCCATAAAAAGATTTCTGATGGTATGCAGAGCTTGAACAAGTTTAAGCTTGGAGAACTCATGAGGTCCTGACGATTTTAACAACAAGATCTGTGTTTGGAAAGTAGAAAGTTTCAGTACGTCCCCCCCTGCCCCGCCCCAAGGCAAACATAAATACTACCTATTTTTGTCATAATTTTACATTTTGATGAAAAATCATATACATACTAAATGATATATTTTTGACCAGCCAAATAACAACCAAATAACCCCAAACCAATAATTTTAGTTAAAGATTGTTTTAAATTTATATTTAAGTGATGGATAACAATAAGAAATTATGTGTTATTTGATTGGCATGATTGCTAGTAAGAGTTTGAGCTATAACCTACTCTAGGTATTGATATTTTTGATTCAAACATTCATGATCTGAACTTCTAATATACTGTACAGCATCTTCATTGCTGAGTTGATTACAATTGATACCTTTTTAGAACATTGGGTGGGTTCATGCAACCTTCATACAATATTATTTAATTCTATTTTGATTGCCAGCAAAAACCAGACTTGTATGTTCACTCTCAGCTTTCCTTTTACCCATTTTAACTAAGTTAATGTTTCATAGTTATTATCATTTATGTTTTATTTTTGTCCTCTTCAGGTGCAATCTAGCTCCAGTGGTGGAGTTTGCTTCAGATGTGGGAACGAAATCTGATTTTATTACCATGAATCCATCAGTTGTACAAAGAGCATTTGGAGGTTTTCGGAATGAGAGCGACAGAGAAAAATTTGTGCATAGACTATCTATGCTGAATGACAGTGTCCTTTGGATCCCTGCTTTCATGGTCAAAGGCGGAGAGAAACATGTGGAGTGGGTTAATGCATTAATCCTTAAGAATAAATTGAAAGTGCGAACCGCCTATCCATCACTGAGACTTATTCATGCTGTCAGAGGGTAAGTGTCTGGAAAAGACTGGTCTGTCCTTGGCACAGTGGAACTCGTAACTTAAATTTCCAGTAAATAGGTAAACACTCTAGTAAACTGTTACAAGTATCATAATATTTATTATTTTTATAATAGATTTACCTTTTTAATATTTTTATTAAAAATATATTTTAAATAAAGTTCATATAATTTGGTAATAAATGCCATCCACTCATTTAGTCTTTTCAAAGGCAAACAATCAGAATGCTTTAAATAGGTAACCTTTATTCTCTTCCTCTACAAACAACATGCTTTTATCCTGTTAGGAAGGTATTCCTGGAAAAAGCAAATCAATTCCAAACATTCGTGGACACCTTTGGAACATAATGGGCAATAAAAACCCCATAATACCTCTACCAGGAGAAGATTGGGTAGCATTGTAGAGGCAAGAAAAACAACTGCATTTTCATATGGAATCATTAAATTATAACTGTGGAAATGATTTATCAGGTCTGGGAGATCTGAAAAATCTGCTCTGTAGTGATATGAGGAAAAAAAGAAGGGAAGTTTCTCAGGCAGTTTCTCAAAATGCTTTCTTATCCCAAAGGTTTGTCCTCCTGAATGAAGCCTACTATTTGAGCCAGTCAACTAATCAGAAAAGTAGAAGTTGTGAAAAGTTATGTATATGGTTAATGGTACTTTGCATGGGGAGGTGAGAGATTTTTTTTCAAACCCATAACTGAGTATAGACATGATGTGACTCTTGTAACTGTCATCCATGTGTTGTCATTTCAAGATTAGACTATTGTGATTTATTCCACAGGGGGCTATCCAGATGGGTACAGCATGTCAACTCATTTGTTAAGTGTCGAATGAGTATTATGTAACACACATTCAATCCATGCTTCAAGAGTAGTAGTAGCTTCCTGTGAGTTGCATAGTATTTTAGATGTTTGTTTTTACCCAAACATAGAATTGCAGGATCACATGAAAATAGGGCTGAGAGGGATCTCAGGAGGTCATAATCCAGCCCACTACTTAAAGTAGGATCATCCCGGACTCAACCATCCCAGTCAAGTCAACAGTTGTAAAAGTTTTAGGGCCTGCCTGAGAAACTGCCCTCCTTTTTCTCTCATACCACCACAGAAGAGGTCAGATGGGAATTGTAAGCAGGTGTGGACAGATGTAACAATTGATGTGTTTTCAGCTGAAACACTTGGAAATGCTTCAGCCAAGCAGGTACACATATATCCTTGTGCTGTTCCTGGCTGGAGCATTCTGGCGGACACTAGAGCAGGCTGCAGCCATTTGAATTTCCACTCTCAGCTCCCTCCTCTCCCTCGCAGGGTCAGGTGGTAAAGATAGGGGGAGAGCAGAGAGCCAGAGAGGAAAGGTGAATATGATAGAAAAGTGGCAACAGCTCCCAAAGCCTCTCAACCTTTCTTTGTGTCCTCAGAGTAGAGGTGATTTGGGCTCCAACATCAGTGGGGTCCTAGCAGCCTTTCATGGAAAGCTGAGGATCAGTCCAGCTCTAGCCTCAACCCCAACATCTCTCTTATTTTCTGTCCCCGTACATGTGATCAAAAATTATGTGTTTCAAGATAGTACTTAATTTGATGAGGTACTATTTTGGTATGTTTTGGTGGTGTTTTAAAGTGCTTGTATGAGTGTATAGCTGGCCTTTGGAAATGTGTAAATTGTCATGTGCCCACTGGTACACATAAAAGGGGTTTCTGTGGATGCCATATGTGGAGGCCGTGGATTCAGAATTCAATCATCTTCCAAGTGATGGGAACCTTTGATGGCATTAAGTGAGTAAACATAGCCATTTGAACATGTTTGAAGTACTGGTAAGAGGAGAAGTTTAATTTTGGTATTGAGTTTTCTGACAGTCTGTGTTTGTTTGTTGTATTTTTTTAATTGTGCTGCTGCACTTTAGTTATATTTGGGCTTTGATTTTGTTGAATTTTCAAGTTGTGTTCAGGGTGCTTAGAGCATATGGATTGGTGTGGTTTGTTTAAACATGTGTGCATAGATCTGAATAAATAAGTTCAGTTTCAATTTCAAAACATCTGTTTCCATTTCCATCTGTAGAAACAGCTTAAATTATCAAAAGTGACTAGTAATTTTCACTGCTTTAACTGTCCAGTCTGCACGGGGGTCAGGCTGAGCTAGCTCAGAAGGGCCTGATAATAAGACATCTCTACAGAATCATAAATTGGGAAGCCAAAACTGAATCACCCAAAATTGCTAGTCACTTCTTTGAATTTAGACCACTATCACCAAGTCACAGTTAGCATGATCCTACAATGAGATTTTGCTTTTAGAAAAGTGTGCTTGGCTGTTTAATTCAGTGCTTTCCTTTTGGATTTTAATTACCTACTTTCTGTCTGACCTACTGGCTGCATTGAGTTGCATGTTACAGTAAGCAACACAAAATCATCATTATTAAATATTCTTTACAGTTTTCTTGAATAATATGAAAAATCATGCAATGAAAACAAAAGGTTTAAAAATGTTTATAGTCTAACTCCATTGGCTTCTACAGTGAGATGCAAGCAATTAAATTTTACTTCATGTGTCAAATTTAAAACTAGAATAAAGAAAGATTTCAGTACTTTTAAAGTAAATATTCTTTTTAATGTCCAGAAGATGTACTTTACCTGCTTTGGGGAAAAAAGTTGCATGTTCATAGTAATCAGGTGTAATATTAAATACAAGTTTAGTCTAGGAAAAGAATACCATCTCTTTCATGTTAAACAGAAAATATTATGGTGTTAATTTATTATATTTATCTTATGTGTATATTTCAAGCAGAACACTATATATTATAGCAATGGTAGAAGCTGATAGGTAAAGATTATTCTCAAAGTTTGTATTAACATATTTAGTCACATACCATATACAGCCATTCATCCCCAAAATCACCCCTTAAGTGGGGAAGCTGATTTTTCTTCACTAAATAGAAGCAGAGAAGAACAGAAGAAAGCAGACACTGTACTCTGGTTGCCAAAAGGGCCCCCACTTCTCTCCGTCCCCACCAAGAAAATTGGTGGAGTCCTGTGTTAACTCTCTCCCAGTTGCAGTAACTTTTGGCTGAGAGCTGTAGCTTGTGCCTGAAGTAGCAATTAAGCCAACTCTGAAAGGATGAGCTGCTCCTTGTGGTCTGTAGGTGATAAGGCTTGTGGTGTAAAAACAGCTCTTCATTCTTTACAGAACTATATACAATAAAGAAGTAACATTTTTGCTATTGCTTTTGCAACAAAATGGCTCCTGACACATCAGATAGTTTCCTTCCCAACTGTCTCCTGGGATGCTACATTTCCTGGACACTACGTTTTCACTTTCCAGGAGAATTTACTCTGTCACACATTTGGACATGACTCTGGAAAAATCAATTTTTTCCTTATATTCTGTCTTTGAAAAACAAGGCGCATCTCTTATTTGGGAGCATATGACATGCAAAGGAAGAGAATATAGTACATTAAAAAAAATGCCTGAAATAAAGTTTTACATTCTCCTAGTAATAAGCCTGCAACCTAAAAACTGAAGTAAATTTAAATCTACACAATAGGAAGTTTACTAAGTTACTCTAAATAAAAACTTTTCTAGCTTCCACGACTAACTTAGATAATACAGTCTTGTTTAACAATGAGGTTTGTTGTTAAACAATAGGCTTGTCTGCCAATAAAAAAATTTCTGGGGGAGGGCAGGAATGTTAATTCTTTTAGTTCATCTTAACTGTTGCGAGTACTCTACCACAGTGGTTTTCAGGCTGTGGTACACCAACCCTTGGGGGTCCTCAGACTATGTCTAAAGTGACTATGATCAATCAAAAGTATGTGAATAGTCACAGTTACAATTCAAAGAGGTCTGCATTTCTTTAAAAAAAAAATTAAGCGTGCACAAATGAGAAAAGGTTGAAAACCACTGCTCTACTGCCCAGAAACTGAATGGGTCCTATTAAGAATGTAGTTAGAAGCAAGATACTCCCAATAACAATTTAAGGAGCCTTAATGAGGTGTGAAAAGCTAAGCAGAGGCTAGCTAGGGCAGTCTGTGAGTAAAAAATGTAAGGAGTCCCAAAGAGGGACAGAAAGCCAAGATTAGACAATTCCCACATCAATTAGCAGGCAGGCTTAAATGAGTTTATATTATCCTTTAATATAGGAATCAGTGGGATTTTCCAAATCTCTAGTGCTACTTGTGCAATGTAAATGGCTACGTCTCTCACACAGGCTTCTTGAGTAATTTATACTGGTTGAAACAAATGCAAAGCTAACCCTGATTGTCAATTCAAGTAGTAAGTATAAATTGCACACTGTGACTTAAGAATTCTAAAGACTATTTAGTGCATTATAATTCTACATTTATTTTGGTTTACTTCTGTTGATTTTTATTTTTTTTAAGTACATGATGATGTGTGCACACCTGAAAGGCATTTTTCTGATGTAGTATTACCAAAAACTATTTTGTGAAGAGGCCGACCTTTTTATTTGTAGAAAATTAGTTTTGGCCGATTGCAGGCACACCCTTATCTTGAGCACAAGTCTGTATGAGTTAGCTCATAGTAAACAAACTATGGTAAATAACAGAGCCCTCAGCTGAAGATAAAAGCAAGTGAAGAATACATAGTAGCAAAATGGAAAAAGGAAATGTACCCACACATGCACTGCAGCAGAGAGAGAGAGAGAGAGAGACTTGTCAAAAGATCTAATCTATTATAGATAAAAGCTTAGTAGTCAGTTAAACATTTTAACATCATACAACATTTGAAATGGAAAGAGGAAATCCTGTTTGAGTTACTGCTGAAATAAAAACAAGCAAGTGTTAACTACAAAAAGTGGTGTCTGTGCAAGTATCTTATTTTATTATATGATTTGCCTTGCTTATTTGCTTGAATTTGTTTTGTTAAAACACCAAGATTCCATATCTTTGCCCTGGAACATAGCTTGATGTTTGTGCATCAAGGACTACAAAGACTTGAAGTACACAGTGGGACTGTGACATTTAGGATCATTTCCTATTATT